CACTGTACCTTGCAATACTCACAGCTAGGTAATTTTTCTTTCTAGTAGCACACATAGCACCTTACAGCACTATGAAAGCCAGCCATGTACGGAGCTTCCAGGTCAGAACCACTTTGATTTCTCCACGTCCTACGACCCAAGTTTGTGGTGTCTTCTTCAACAGATTACATATTGTCTCAAAACTAAAGTTTGGAAAAAATGATAAGTTATCCCCCAAACAATAGAGTACATGAGGTCCAAGGGATTTCCATTTTGACAGTCCAATAAAAGCACAAGGAGAATGCATATGTCAGAGAATAGTAGTTTTTCATGGAAATATAAGCTAGAGGCCTAGGAAAGTCTCCAAGATTTAAACAAAGGTGATATGATGTATACAGTGTCCAAAGAAATTTAGAAGAGATTTCTATAAAGTGGAGATTATTAACAATAGGAACATAGAAAACAGAGCAAATGAAAACATTAAGCAGATAATAACTTCAGGAGAATAAAAAAAAACTGTAAGAAACCTAATCATTAAATACTTCTTGAATCAGGTATGAATAATAAAATATTATTACAAAAGTAAATATTGGGTGCAAAATAAGCAAAAGTTATAATGTGTTTTAAAAATACGATGCTAAAACACTAGTAAATAATATATAAATTAATTAAAGGAGAAAAAGCAATATTAGTAGAGAGTGTTGTTAAAATAGTAATCAACCAAAAAGATGTGGACAAGTTTATTTCAACTTAGTAGAAACTAAAAGAAAAGAAAATTCATCAGATGGTATTATTTTGAAAACAGCCCACTATCACTGTTTTACCTTTAAAGTTTTAATAAACACAAACAGAAATGTCCAAATATATGTATCTTAATTTTGTGATATTGGAATTATAAAGTACAGTAAATCATTGACTAGTAGGAAAATTTAAATACTGGAAAAAAAAGTAATGGGTGAAACAGAAAAGTTAACACATTGTGCTCTATAAACTGGGAGTATGAGGTTAGTCAGGAAAACAAGGGGACAAGAAACAATGAAGAAAGAAAAAAAAAGAAAATTGGGCATCAATCTACCTCAAGATCCAGCTATACTACTCCTGTACATATGCCCAAAAAACACTCCATATTACCACAAAGACACTTGGTCACCTATGTTAGTAGTACCTTGATTTGTAACAACCAGAAATGGGAAACAAACTAGATGTCTCTCAACTGAAGAGTGGATAAGAAAATGTACACTTACACAGCTGTTAAAAATAACACCATGATATTTGTAGGCAAATGAGTATTTCATTCTTTTTTAATTATTTTATTTTATTTTACAATACTATTCAGTTCTACATAACAGCCACAGATTCCCTTGTTCTCCCCCTTCCTGCCCCCCTCCCCTTCCCCCCAGCCAATCCCCCATTCCCACATCCTCCAGAGCAAGGCCTCCCCTGAGGACTGAGATCGACCTGATAGACTCAGTCCAGGCAGGTCCAGTCCCCTCCTCCCAGACTGGGCCAAGCATCCCTGTATAAGTCCCAGGTTTCAAACAGCTAACTCATGCAATGAGGCCAGGACCTGGTACCACTGCCTAGATGCCTCCCAAACAGATCAAGCCAATCAGCTGTCTCACCTATTCAGAGGGCCTGATCCAGGTGGGGGCTCCTCAGCTTTTGGTTCATAGTTCATGTGTTTCCATTCATTTGGCTATTTGTCCCTGTGCTTTATCCAACCTTGGTTTTAACAGTTCTCGTTCATATAAACCCTCCTCTTTCTTGCTAATTAGACTCCCAGAGCTCCACCCGGGGCCTAGCCGTGGATGTCTGCATCCAGATTCCTCAGTCCTTGGATGGGGTTTCT